AGGGAACGAGAAGGAGTTGATCATAGGGGAGTCTGATTTCCTGCTGCCTCAGGAGCGAACGCTGATGGTGGAATTAATGAAGAGGAAGCATCGTGCCTACGCGTTTAATGACGAGGAGCGTGGTAGGCTGGATGTAGATAAGATACCTATGATCCGCATCCACACCGTGCCACACGAGCCTTGGAACATCAGAGGGGCGCGATATCCCAATCCTGACGAGGAAAGGAAGGTGGTGGATTATCTCGACGGCAAGATACGTACTCACGTCGCCGACTATTCAAGTGGACCGTTTGCGTCCCCGTGGTTCTGCTTTATTAAGCCTAACGGGACGCTGCGRTGGGTGCARGATTTGCAAAGATTGAATGCAGTGACCGTGCGAGATGCTGGAGGACTGCCGAATGCAGACGCGCTGTCGGAATCCTGTGCTAGAAGGCCTATAATTTCACTTATAGATCTTTACTCAGGATACGATGAGTTCCCAGTCTACCCGCCGGATAGGCCGGTGACAGCTATGCAGACGCCGCGAGAATTAATCCACATGAACGTGGCCCCACAAGGGTGGACCAACGCTGTAGCAATGGTCCAACGGGCCATGATTCGGGCCATGCAGTCAGTCAGCCCCCATATCACACAGCCATACATTGACGATTTGGCAGTGAAGGGGTCGGCGATGAAAGAGAGCGACGAAGTCTCACCAGGGGTAAGGCGCTTTGTCTGGAAACACATTCAGGACCTCGAAAAGGTCCTGAGTCTGCTCGAAGAGCATAACCTCACGGCAAGCGGGGCCAAATCCAGACACTGCATGAGGGAAGCGACTATCTTGGGGATAGCCTGCAATGAGAAGGGCCGAAGGCCGGATGTGAAGAAGACGGACAAGATTACTGAGTGGCCAGTTCCGTTTCACTAAATAACTGATGTCAGGAACTTCCTTGGTACGTGTGGATTTTGGAGGGCCTTCGTCAAGAACTTTGCCGCTAAGACTGAACACCTGAGAAAGTTAGTCCGTCAGGATCAGGAATGGGTATGGGGTGAGGAACAAGAAGAGGTGGTGGCAAAAATGAAAGAGGAATTCCGAGAAGGAGGGTTAGTGTTAAGAGCGCCAGATTATGACGCCACAGAGATGCGACCCTTCATTGTCGAAACGGATGCGGGACCGACCGCCTTAGGGGGAGTTCTAATACAGGCAGACATGGAAGGAAAGGAAAGGTCCTTGCGATTTGAGAGCCGGACTCTCAGTACGACAGAGAGGAACTACTCTCAGTTCAAGAGGGAGACCCTTGCTGTCCTCCACTGTCTGCGAATCTTCCGGAACTATGTCTTCGGCAGGAGATTTATTTTGAGAGTGGATCCGACCGCCCTGGCCTACTCTCTAAGGAATTACGTTCCATCGGATCCGACGATTGCCAGATGGCTGACGTACATCTGGATGTTCAATTTCGAATTAGAATGAATTCCTGGTAGTAAGAACCGGGCAGACGGGCTGAGTCGGATCAACTGGGATAAGCAGGAAGGAGAGGCAGTGGAGAATACGCCCCCAGTTGATGGATTTCTGGATCAGGAAGAAGATGTTCGTCTCCATATCAATAAGTGATCGCCGCGAGTGCCCAGCTGTGTAGGCTATCCTATTTGGCAAGCGCCGAGCGGATATGAAAGGAGGACCGAGCTGATCCTCAAACCCTTTAAAGAAGAGGATCCCTGGGGCGGTAAGGATGTTCAGTGGATGATGGAATTAGCGCTGGTCAGCTCGCATAGCCTGGTGGAGGATATGAGGACGATTGAGGAAGGACCTGGCCAGGTAGAACGACATGAGGACCTGATGGGAGGAATGTATCTCCTCGTCAATACGTTATTGCAGGAAAACCTAGACCAGTCAGGCTCGTTGAACCCGGCAGGGAATGTGGACGAAATACCCAAGAGCCATGACGACGAGTTCGAAGAAGGGAAATTTAAGGAAGCTTTTCATGCAGAGGAGTACGGCGGGATCTACCTAGAGCTGGGGCTTCTTTTGTCATGTGAAATGCGGCTAAGGGATGCGAGCGATAGGGCTCAAAGGATGCTGCAGTGCTACTTAGTGTGAGACGGTCACCTTTTCGTGAGAAGGGAAGTGGGGAATCCCAGGAGAGTCGTCTGCGGTAAGAATCGTCAGATCGACGTCGTAGCAGCGCTTCACGATGGTATTGCAGGAGGACATCGAGGGGTACAAGCCACGTATGCCAAGATAATTGAGTTGTACTACTGGGGGGATGGGATGATGGATATGATCGGAAAGTTCTGCCGATCTTGCGTACCTTGCCAGGAAAGATCCCGTTTAAGGCAAGGAGAGCCGCTGCATCCCAGGCTAGAGCGAGAGGTGGGG